TATATATATATATAAATAATATACACAATAACCACATCCTGTTTAAAGGGTTTTACTTTCATGTTTTCTCTTTTTTTTCTTTTCTCTGTATTAAAAGGTTTTGTTTTGAATGCTCTCTTAATTCACATTTTTCGTAAATGGTTTTGCTTTCTAAATTTGTATATGGGGCTTTATTAGAGTTATGCAGTAATATTTCATTTCCATACATGTATCTTGAAAACTAATAGATGATGTACACAAAAATTTTACACAATATGGGATGTCAGTATGGGACAGTCCTCCCCAAATTTGGTCTGGGTCCAGATCCAGACTCTGGATCACTTTGAAACAGTTTTCATAATGGGGACATAGGGCATTTTTCAAGGTTTTGGGTTAATAACTCTGTAAAGTGTGATGAAATTTGTACCAAATTTCATGAGCACATTAAGGTTGATACTCCTCATCACACAACAAAATATGATCCAGATTGTTGATCACTCTGAATTTGACATTCTTAAAAAGGAGAGGCAGAGCAAGGATATGTAATCTTTCTGATTGCTCTTGTTTTTAATATTTGGTTTAAAGGTTTTTCATTTGATTTATATGTTGATTTTTCTTTAAAGGACTATTTTTTATTTATATAAGTTTTATTTGGTTTCTGTTTTGATGTTTTGATTAGAATTTTTGCATTAATAATTTGTTCAAAGGGTTTTGTTTGTTTTGTATTTCTTGTCTTGCTTAAAGGGTTTTTGTATTAATGATCCTTTTAAAGGATTCTATTTCATTTTAATATTGATGTTTTCTGTTGAAAGTTCTTAAAAGGATTCATTTTATTATTTTAAATGATGATGTTTAAGTGTACAACTGTATTTGTCATTTTTCTTAGTTCCACATGATCAGTTACATGTTTTTCAAGCTCTTCTGCATTATCCTTTGTTACACATTTTCCTGACAATTTTTATACCCATTATACTTTTATGTTAATTACGTTTGCTATGTTGATTTGTATTATTTATGAAGATATTTTGTGTATAACACTTGCATATATAATTGAGACTAATCATCTTCTAAATAAATAATGGAATCCTAGTAAACCAAGCTATATATATTTGTGTAAATATTTTAATTTTAAGGGTTTTTGATTTTCATTTTGAAAGGTTTTGATTTGAAAATTCACAAATTTCTTTTACTTTATAATATTTTCCTTTTAAGGATTGGTTTTTGTTATGTATTTAATCTTGTATTTTTTTCCTTTTAGAGGGATTTTATTTTGTAATATTGAATTTAAGGGTTTTCATTTTTGTGTTATGTGCAATTTCTTTTTTGTTAGTTGTGTGTATTACTTGAGAACAGTCTTTGTATATATGAGTTTTGTATAAATGTGGTCGCTTAGTACATTATTATATATTGCCATTCTATGATGTTCCTATCTTATTTGACTGAGCTTAGTGATTGTCATGATTTTTCAGGATCAAATTTTAATTTTTTTAAATTAATATTAAACTTAAGTTAATGTTAGCTTAAGAACAAGATTAAAACATGGGGAAGAAGATTATAGTATGCAAATACTATATATCTTAAATTCTCATATTATTTACAAGATTCCAGATTTTCTCAAAATTCTGATTTTGGAACACTAAATCTGGTATAAGTCACATGGTAAATTCAACCTGAGGTATTACTTTTTGTAGTATGACCAGTCAAGAAACTTATCTACTGTTTAATGAGGTAGTTGCATTGTGTCTTTCATGACCTTGTGTCTGGAGAACAACTTGTGGCTCTTACATGGAGTAGAAGTACAGTATTTCTGTATCTCACAGCTTGTTTCTGATTGATCAGCCATAAGCAGAATTTGCTTTGAGATATGCAGTTTTGGCACTTTTTTCAGAGATTCAGATTCAGCTTTGAGGAGAACATTTTGTCAACTCTTACTGTGAATGTTTGTATATTATTCTACATGCTAATTGTTTGAGTTGTATCTAACTTATTCATTATAATTCCACTACACTGAAACTTATTAGTGGCATTCAATTTATGTTGCTATAAACAATTTTTTCTTTTCAACATTGTCTCATCTCTTTCATTCCACCTTTCACAAACAGATGCACCTTCCTTTTGTAGATAAAAAGATGAATCTCAATTTTTCACAGATCAGGTAACTGTGTGAAAGTATAAACTTGGACTACCACAACTGAAGCTACATAATTTTTTTTAAATCAAGATATTTATAGAAAAATGTTGAAATAGTCACTGTCCATATAATTTGATAATTATATAAGTATAATAAGTATAAAAATCTGTTCTTCAAACATTTGTACAATAGCTGGCTAATGAATGGACCACATTTATGAATATGTTCATCATTGAACTTTTTCTACATCTAAGAAATAACAGTTTTCAACCACAGTCTATGAGCTTCCAGTCTTAGTCATTTGTTTCATTTGGTGTATTTTTTCCAAGTATGAAACTTTTTCTTACATAGGTATAACTTATTGTAATTGTGAAATGCTCAGTTGACACCCATAAACAATATAGATTAATAAACAATAATTTTCAATTTTTATGGTAATCTCTTATAATAACAGTATGTAAATAATAAACAATTTTTTAAAGCAGAATATGTTTCAACCTCTAATTTAATAAACATAATAATAAGTATGAGCAGGATAAGTAGTTTTTTTATATAATCCAACCAAATAAGTTAATAAAATATCTAGAAGGTATGCAAGACTTGAAGATGACAGTATTTAAACAACAAATCATGTACATCATATCATTAAGTGTAAGAGATAATAAGATGGTTCCCTAAAGGACCTTGGTACTGTTCCTACTCCATCACATACTTAGTTTTTCTTGTGACTTCATGCCAAGCACATTCAGGTATATATATTGTAGTGAAAAAAAATCTTGCTGTATTTTCATGTGTTTTTTGGGTCAGATATAATCACAACAATCCTGATAACAAATAATTTTTAATGCTTATAATAGTTTAAATAAGATTTTACAATATGAAGAATTATTATTGAGAAAACTGAAACTGTACATTAATACAAATATAAACTAATTTGAACTCTGACCTAAGATTTTTCTAACTTATGATTGTGATTTATTTATTATTATTATTCTTTATGAATAGATTGACTAATTTTGCATTAGTGCTTAGTATTACCTAACTGTTAAGCAGGCTGAACCTTGCAAGTTGTTCTTGGCTGAAAATAGCAAGATAACAATGTGGTGGCCTGGCATTATCAGGTGGTTAGGGAGCTTGATTCACAATCTGAGGGAAGGTTGCGGGTTCGACACCCCGTCCCACGAGACATGCTTGCCTTTTCAGCCATGGGGGCATTATAATGTGATGGTGAATCCCACTATTTGTTAGTAAAGGAGTAGCCCAAAAGTTGTTGGTGGGTAGGGATGACTAGCTGCCTTTATGCCTTTATTCTTTCACTGCTAAATTAGGGACAGCTAGTGCAGATAGCCCTTGTGTAGCTTTGTGAGAAATTCAACAAAAACAATCTGGTGACTAAGAGCTGTTTTAGTCAAAGTATTATTTTACAAACTCTCACACATTTAAGTTTAAAATGTTCATCTTAATAACTATAATTGGGTTCTACTTGGACTGAGGTTTGATAGTTAACTATAAAAATTAATTTTACACTAATTTACCTAAAGGCCCATTTCCAAGATATTTGCAAACTTAAATTGAAAAGAGTATTTTATTTCTATTACTAACATTAGTTTTAGATTTATTTAAAATTAATTTTATTTGTTTACTAACTTAATTTTTTTGCTTTACAGGTTCTTAAATGTAGTTTTTGTATATAATTAATATTTATTTAAGTATATTTATGTGTATTTTAATATATAAGATTAGAAAGTTAGTTTAGTTCAAAATACATTTTAACAGTTCACCTATATTCGTGAAACAAGATTGTGAAATTTTCACATATGACTTTCTATTTTTGTTATAGAAAGAGTAATCAGTAAGGATTAATATTCATCCCTATATATTGTTTTGTATAAAAAGAATTAAAATGTATTTGATGTACTTATTTTTCAATGTGTTTTAATTAAAAGTTATGATTTTTTCTCTTTTGCAGAAAGTGTAAAGAAACCTCAATACTTTTCATGCCTAGGTCAAGTTAACCCTAATGACTTTGATAATTGTTGTCATAATAGCAGACTGAAAGGAGGAGATCTTGTAAGGTGGGCAACTTTTTCTGAATTTATAGAGTGACACATGAAATTAATACATGGTTTGATTTATTGCATTTTTTTATTTTTACATATAAAATCAACAGTCATAATATTGTTAAACTGAACATATGTGCTGTATTGAAACTTAGATAATCTTACCTTGGATGCAAGCCAGTATTAAAGAAAATTAAAGAAGAAAAGTGAAAGAGGAAAGAAAGTGGAATTCTGCTTAACTGAACATTTAGTTAGATTTCAAGTGTTTTTGCAGCATTTGAAATCTGAGAAATTTTAAAGAAAAACCGAAGAACTGTTAAACAGCCAGTTGATAAGTCTTACCAGAATTAGGCAGAAAACTTCTATTGCTACTAGTTGTTAAGATCTTTCATTGGTTATCAATCACATCACTATCTCCTGACTGGTCACATGATTTCTACCTTGTATAAAAATTCTAACTACAAGTAACATTATGGTTGTAATCCATTACAAATATGTATATACTTTGTTACCTCTATTTACAAGTTTGTTTGTTCTTCTTTCAGTAAATTTTGTGGACAAAATGTTACACTTTTTTCTGTATACATAGGAGAAACTGATTTCTTACTTGAAGCTGAGGAACCCAATTTAAGATTGATAAAGTGTAGAGATGACTTGAAAGGGTAATGAAGAAAACTTTATTTCACTTTTAACACACTAACAAATATTCAATTTTTCGACCTGGTGGTCAAGGCATTTGACTTACAATCTGAGGGTTGCAGGTTCGAATCCTTGTCACTGAACATGCTCGCACTTTCAGTCGTGGGGGCATTATAATGTGATGGTCAATTCCACTATTCGGTTAAAGAGTTGATGGTGGGTGGTGTTGATTAACCATCTTCTCTCTATCACTGCTAAATTAGGGACAGCTAGTGCAGATAGCTTTTGAGTAGGTTTGAATGAAATTCAAAACAAACCAGAGACACACACACACACACACACACACACACACATATATATATATATATAATATGAAACAAAAAAGCCAGACAATTGGAGATGCTTAAAAGCTTAGTATATTGGCACCCATAGTGCTAGTTTAGAGTAGGGTTGTGTTTTTCAATGAAGCTGGTTTCTTTGATTTTATGTTTATTGATGTTTGTTTCTTTGTTTAGAATTATGATGTTTTTAACAGATGTACTATGTTTTTTTTTGTTGCAATGGTTATAAACATGGGACAGTTTTTTATTATGTTGAGTAAATCTTGTTTCTAGTTTATTTCCACTGTCTCAGATGTGGAGTTTTGGACAGTTATTACACATTATTTTATAAGTGACATTGATATTGTGTGATTTTACATAATTTTTATTTAGTAAGGATTTTAGTTGAGGGAGGACATTTAAGCCTTCTGTTTTGTGGCTCTTCTATACTGTCTTATAGGGTACTTTCTCTCCAGAGTATTTTATAAAAGCAGTTTCTTCCATTAAAAATTTGTTTCTACTGGCTAATGCAGAAGTTTGTTTGAGGTGTCAGGGTATATTGTTGTATCTAATAATATGACAGATACAATGTTATTCATTGGGAACTTCACCTTTCTTCCATTCACTGTTAATGACACATACTATGATCCCAGTTCTTTTAACATTGGAGTGGGTTTACTTACTGGCCCTGCCTTTTGATAACCTGGGTCTGGCCCTGCTTGACATAGATTATGACAGTTAAACTAAGAAGGACCTACTTCCATGGCTAATTAGTGGTTTTTCTCATCTGTTTGTTTGAAGGTAATCTTGACTTTTCTCCAGATTTCTTTGTTGGCATTCCCTTGGCGAATGCTCTGTGGTAGTTCACTTATGTAATACTAATCATTGTTGGTGGTCTGTGATGTTATTCCAGGGTTTGTATAATATAAAGTGAACTGACTATTGTATAATTTTGCTCATGCTTTTTTTGTTAATTTGAAAGTAGTTTCTTTTCATTAGTTTTCATTCATCCTCTTGTTAATGGGGGAAAAAAAGTTTATTATTAACAGTATTAGAGCTGGGGAATTAGCTCAATTAATTGGTTATATCAGTTAATTGAAATTATGATTAAGTTGATGAATATTCGGAAAATAATCAACTAACCAAAATTTGTTTTCCAATTATTACAATTTTTACTACTTGAACTATCTAAGCAATTAAAATATTGCAGTTATGATTATTCATTATTATTTTTGTTTAACTCAAAGTTGTCAGATTCATCAGTTAGTGTCACAACTCATGAAAATAATCAACTAATCAAAAGTACTATTTCCAATTATTCCAAATATCCAAAGAATCAAGATATTAGCTATTATTACTTCCATTGACTTGACTGCTTGTGATGGTATGCTTGTAGTACATGACTGGCCACAGTGATGCCTTTAGTTCATTTGTACCTTTATATCTAAGTTATAATGTAGCTTTAACTTAATATTTTGTTGGTTGACTCAGCAAGTCAACAAACAAATCTTTGGTAAAAGTACTTTAGTGAAAATTGATTTTTTGGGTACAAAGAACTTTTCAAGTTTTCTAAAACCTTGCCAAATTTAGTGAAGATGCACATAGTAAACATTAGTTTTCCTATGCAGTATTGGTCTAATAGACTGACTTGTTTACATGTGGTTAACTCTCTCAACACAGGCTCGGTCAATTTGACTGACCATGTGACCTCTTTGTACTCATTTAAAGTCTTTGTAGATTGAATACTTCTAACATCCAGTATAGTGTGTATATCTTCAAAATTTGGCAGAGTTTCAGTTTCACTATTATGTGTTGCAATATTAACTATAACATGAACAAAAAGTAGTTTAATAACATTTTGAATGTAAGACACTAAAACCTTGTGTCATGCGCAGTAAAGGAGTGCTCGTCGCAAAAGTGTTAATGGAAATAAAGTTCACAGATACAAAATATGTGTAGAAATAACAAGGCATGTTGGAAGGTATGTAACATTGTCACCTACAGAGAGGAAGGTTCATGGTTTACATGAATGGCCTGTATTAGTTGCTGTTTTCTAATACTCATCAAGCAAAGACTTCCTCAAATATACATATCAAAGGGGATATTTTTTCTCTGCATGATTGAGACTTTACCCTGTTGCTGTTTGTCATCTAACTGTTGGAACCAATATGAATGTTTTGTGGAAAAGTATAAAAAAATGAACTGGAGTCTCGAGTCGTGTTTATGGAAGAAGCAATCGGATGCTATAAAGAGAGTCATTATCTAAGTTGTTTCAGATGTCTGATAAAATGAACAAGGCATTTTTATAAGACACATACCTCCAAGATGTGTCCTGTGTAAAACATTTTTCAATGTAATGCAAAACTTTATAGTTTTGAACAAGTGTTTATGTCGTCATAAGGAAGACTAGTCATAGTTGTCAGTTGATAGTGCATGAACAGAGGCATTATTATAACTCTTGTAAACAGGTAGCAAGGTGAATTGCACTTGCTGTTTACAACATCTGACACAAAACTGTTCAATAGAGAAAACTTGTTGCAATTACTATAGAGAATGATAATTGTATCATCAGTGGGTGCAAGTCCTAGATTTGGACAGTTCTTTATCTTTAATTAATGATGGCTCTGTGGTATTCACAGATGGAACAATTTTCTGATAAGTATCAGATAGAATATTCTGCAGTAATGACAGAGTTTGCCCAGGAAATTTATGGAGATTGCATGATAGATATAATAGGACTGAGTGTTCTTGTTAGTGTATTAATAACTGAGCTGGACACATATTGAATAAACACAACCTTTATTTAAGTAATAAAAAGAAGACAAGTATACATACCCACAGTAGATGAGACAAAAGTCCTATTTCCCTGTAGTTGGTGTTCAGTCTTGTTGCTTTCTTTTGCTTGAGATCAGATGCTCCAACCTCAAATGTGCAGATCTTCCATGAAAGAGGAGATCCTTCCAGTTCATCAATTAACCCTATTGCTCTGGGTATCTTTTACTGCACATGACAGAAGGTTCTAGTGTCTTACATTCAAAATTTTATTAAACTACTTTTTGTTTATGTTGTACCAATTAGAATAGCATAAGATCTTAGCTAATAATCCATATTTTAATAGTATACACGTTTTAAGTTCTTAATTCTACAAGGGAATATTGAAACAAATTCCTGAATTTCCACTAGTGTGACCCATGTGACACATTTTGTCTTAGAATGTTATTTTTATCCATCACCTTTCAAAAATGTATGATATTTAACGTAAATTACTCTCTATGAAATCATTATTGCTCAGACAAACCATAATTTTTATAGCTCTCAATTTTGTTTGGTTACAGAGCTATCGAATATAAAATCAGATCTCTCCTGGCACACCCACCTGTCACATCCTCTCTTTCACAATTCGTCAGTAGTTCTCTCTTATGTTTCATTATATATTACCTATAACCAACAGAAAGTCGAGGTTTTCATCTGTTAAATGACGTGTTGTATAATGTTTTATTCTGAACAGAATATCATCAATTTCCCTCACAGTACACAATTCGTTCCTGTGGGAAAGTTAACAACTAGCTTGGATGATTTTATAATGGCTCTTCACGCATTGTTAGAAAGCCAGGAAAATTTTGAGAGGTAAGTGAATTTGTCTACTTTTTGCAT